CTTACTTCAAAATGCCAATTATATGAAAGTCTAAGTGAAAGACGTGCATGATCACTTGATTCAATTGTAACAATATCACTTGAAAATTCTGGTCCCAATAAAAGACATATAGCACGAATTTTATTTGGTACTTTAGGTTTTTCACCCGATAAATTTAAAACTGTAAATTGTTCATCAGGATCAAGTATAACAAGTTCAGGACCAAAAACAATACGTGATTTTTTAGATTTAAAATCATATATTTGTACAGCAGCATTATGTGGTACACGATAACTAACAACTTTTGATTTATCTCTTGGTGGAGTAACATTTGGTGTATTAGATTTATCTTCAAAATGTCGTGCATCTAATACAAGTAATTGTTCAACTTGTGCTGGTAATTCTTTTTCCCATAATTCTTCATTTTCAGTTAATAAATATGTACTACCAATAACTGAACGAATTTTACCAGTTTTAACATCACGAACATAAATACCTTCATTAACATCTAATGGTACAGCTTTACGTCTTAGAATAACTTCAGCTTCAACAGCTGGTATATAATCTTTTGGACCTCGAACCATCCAACGATCACCAGGATTACGTACAACTTTCTATTTAAATAGAATATAATTAATTAATTAATTTTTTTTTTGTGAAAGGAAAAATTAAAATCATATAAATACTTACTCCATCTTCTTTAAATGATTCTGTACAACGAAGAATAAGACCTTCATCTTCTTCAAGAACATATACATCTTGTATACCATTAGCTAATTTTTCACCAGGTTGAAGAAAAAATGTTTTTTCACCCTTAAAAAAGAAATTGTTTTTTATTTTTAATGTTATAATTAAATCAAATTTATTTATACTTTAATTAATTTTTTCTTTCCTAATTGAGGTTTACCATCGGAATCAACTGGATCAAGAATAACACAATATTGACGAGAATTTAATACTGTTACTGATACAACACCAACAACCTATGTTTAAATATTAAATTATTTCTATTTTTGTCTTTCTATTCAAAAAAAAAAAATGAACCTACTTCTTCATATACATCAGGAATATATGTTTCAGCATCTTTTACATATACTAACCATTCTTCTCCATGAAGACGTTTACGTTTGAATGCATCAGTAAATGTTCGTAATGCGCGAACATGAAGAGCTTTCTAAAAAAAGATCAACATCAATATAAGATTATAATAATAATAATATCTTATCTACTTTATCAGTAAGAACATAAGCTGTGACAGTTGAAATAACTTCTTCATAGGCTAATGGTAAATATGAACCAACAGTTCTATTAAGCCATTCTTCACCTGTTTCTCGTTCAATACCATCACGATCAGTCATTTCTTTTTTAGCACGTAAACGTACAGCTTCATTAGGTTTAAGAATAACAGCTTTAATTTGTTCTTCAACACTAACTTCTTTACGTGGAAAATATGTTCCAGGCCCTTGAAAAAGAAATTCATCACCAGCTCGAATTTGTTCACCTTGTTCATTAATAAAATCAAGAACAGCACGAAGACGTAAAGCACAATTAGGTTCAATAACTTTTAATGGTGTTACAGGTAGTTTAAGAATTTCTCCTGGATAAAGTGGAAATGGTTCTTGTGCAAAACGTATATCAACATCAGAATGAAATAATTTAACTTGACCATTTTTATCTATAACAACTTTATCATTTTTATCTCGAACTGCTGGATTTTCAATAACAGCATAATGACGTGGACTATATACAACAACAATAAAAAAAAAATAAAACAATATGATAAAAACTAATTTTCAACCTACGGTATGATTAACATGCGTTCAGGTCCAAGTATAACTTTTTCATGATCTTGTTTAACAAAAGTTTTTGGACCTACTTCAAGTCGAGTTACATTTGTATTTTGATCAAGTACATGTAAATAATAGAAAGGAGGAATTCGATATACTAAATATATAATCATATAGTAAAAAACCAAAACGTCATTATTTATTAATGATATATCTTACCACCGCTAAGTTTTGGATCAGCCATAGTGGTTTGTTTTTGTTATCAAAAAAGAAACGACAAATCTGCAAGAATAAAACGTCCTTTTATGTATGTTAATATCCGTGTAGAAAAAAAAAATGTGCATTAAAAAAGGGTTATATGAAACAAGAAGAAAAAAAACAACAATTTTCAACTTGATTGTGAAATGACATTAGTATAAGTTAACGTTAAACATTGCACGACTAACCTACAATAATAACTGAATAAGGTTGATTCATGTCATAAATAAGAAGAAAGAAAGAAAAAAACAGACGATACAAAGAGAGTGAATTAGAGAAAGAACGCAAGAGCCCCTTTTTGACACATTATATTGCAACATAGTCATGAAAGTATAAAAACTTAGCAATTTCATTTAATTCTGAAATATTCTAAATGCGTAAAAAAAAATGCGATAATGAGTTGCTTCTTTCTGATGTAATAATTGATATCTAAAATAAAATCTAATATGATTGGATATGACGTCTACTTTTTTTTTTTGATCTAGATAAGAAAGAAATCAAATAGAGCAAAAAAAGAAATTTTACTTTTTTTAAATTTCGTTATTATTGAATATGATAAGTATATGTGTTTGTCAAAAAAATAACCATGGCTATGGTGAAAACAAGACTTACATTCGAATTTTTATTGATTTAGGATAATTATATTTATATGTCATTCATAGCCGAGCGAGCGAAACAGCAAATTTTAAGATAGAAGTCGATAGTTCCAAAAAAAAAATATTCGGAATCGAATCGACGATCTAATAATAGTATATTTGATAACTGATACAATAATTTTTCTTCTCGAAGTTGTTAACGTCTATTTTGTTTCTTTAATGAAGAATTATATTGAAGTGAAACTTTGTACAAACATAAGGGGGTGTCTAATTATACATACAAAGATATTTCAGATTTGTATCTCATTGTTAGTAGGACCTAGGACAATTTCAATATATTTATAATACTTAATTTTGATATCTATGGCATTCAATCAACTGAGTAGAAAATGTCTATTCAGTTTTTTTTCTTTATTTAACCCAAGACACTGCTTTCTATTAACTCTTGTAAATCTCTTCTAATGTTTTCCTTCTTTCTCTGATCTTGAGACATAGACTACGTCAAAAACGTTTTGCGAAAACTGAGAAAATTTTATGAAAAGATGAACTTGAAGTTAGGATGATTATGACAATGCTAAATATTTTCTGTGCTCTTAATCATACTTTTGGCTGCTTTTGATTTTTCTTTTCATCAAGGTGTAAGAAACATACATAGTTTATCTTTAGTGTGATCGTAGATTGTTCCCTTCGACTTTAGTTTATGAAACATTCGAACAGCTTACCACTGATTATTTCAAGAGGTTTTAGTGCAAGGGGGAGAGCAGCTAAAACTTTCATGTTAAACTCTCATGAAATCTTCTGAAACCCTGCAAAATCTTTGGAAAGAATTTCGACCAATACCCGACAAAACATTTGAAGAGGTAATTAAGTTTAGTAAATCTGTTACCGACTTTATTTGCAATCAGACAAAGACCTGAAGTTAGTCATAGTTCTTGAATTGTCAAGTCTTCCGATATCTTGAAGGTAGAGTCCTAATATGCTCAAGTTTTTTAACTTTCTCCCCCTATCAAAAGGGTGTAAGTATAAGTGCGTGCGATGGATAAAATAGAGTTCTTGCCTTCACCTACATCCTATTAGTACGACAGTTTTATCCATGAATATTCAAAAATGTTGATAGAATATTTCTTTTCTAGCGATTTTCAAAATCGAAAAAATTATTGATGCAATCCTTGTTTAGTATTTTCCGATAAATTTGTACGTAAATCATCAAATACTATCTTGACTTTCTTCAAAGGTAACAATACCAAAGCCATTAGTTTTCGAAAGCTAGTATGAGTATCCATATCTTCGACATAATTTTTTTGTAAAATATCCTGAATTGTCAATATATAGTTACTAAACGGAAACTATGACACTACTTTATTTCTTTTCTGTTATCTTTTGACTTGTGTATGATCTATGTGATAATGTTAGTATC